CTTGTATCCCAAGTTTATGGAAACATTTCATATTCAATGACATCATAAATAGCATAACTATATTGTAACTTGATATATCTCTAGAGTTTAAATTTATAAGAATTTTATATAATGTCCTTCCTTGTATCTTACTATAGCTTTTGTTTTAAAGTATATTTTGTCAGATATAAGCATTGCTGTCTCTGCTTTTTTTCATTTCCATTTGCATGAAATATTTTTTCCAACCCTTTCCTTTTTTTTTTATCCTCACCTGGGGATATGTTTATAGATTTTAGAGAGAGACAAGGGGAGGGAGGGAAGAAGGGGGAGAGAGAGAGAGAGAGAGAGAGAGAGAGAGAGAGAGAGAGAGAAACATCAATGTGAGAGAGAAACATTGATCAGTCGCCTCCCACACATGCCCCAACTGGGGTCAAACCTTCAACGTAAGTATGTGCCCTGATCAAGAATCGAACCCACAACCTTTTGGTATATGGGATGACACTGCAACCAACTAAACCACCCAGCCAGAAACATCCCTTTCAGTTTCTTTAATCTTTCATTCTGAGGTGGGTCTCTTATAAAGAGTATATATATATAAATTTTCTTGTTTTCTTATCCATTCAGCAATGCTATGTCTTTCAATTGGAGCATTTAAGCCATTTAAATCTAAAGTGATTATTGATAGGTAGGTATTTATTGCCATGTTATTCTTTATAACTATGTTCTGTTTTCTTCTTTTTTTTTTTCCTTCTCCTCCACTTCCTCCTCCTCCTTCTCCTCCTCCTTTTCCTCTTCCTTCTTCTCCTTCTTCAAGAAGAACTTTAACATTTCTTATAATACTGGTTTTGTGGAATGAACTCCTTTAGCTTTTTATTGTCTGGAAAGGTCTTTATTTCTCCTTCAATATTAAATGATAGCTTTGCTGGGTAAAGTAGTCTTGGTTGTAGGTCCTTGCTTTTCATCACTTTGAATATTTCTTGCCAATTCCATCTGGCCTGAAATGTTTCTATTGAGAAATCAGCTGACAGTTTTATGGGAGCTCCCTTGTAGGTAATTAATTAACTGTCTTTCTCTTGCAGCTTTAAGATTCTCTTTGTCTTTAACCTTTGCCATTTTAACTATTATGTGTCTTGGTGTGGACCTCATTGGGTACATCTTGTTTGGGACTCTCTGCACCTCCTGAATTTGCATGTCTTTTTTCTTCACCAGGTTAAGGAAGTTTTTAGCCATTATTTCTTCAATTAGGTTCTCGATCCCTTGCTCCCTCTCTTCTCCTTCTGGCACCCCAGAAATGCAAATATTGTTACGCTTCATGTTGTCCCACATATCCCTTAAACTATCCTCATTTCTTTTCTTTTTTTATTTTTGCTTCTCTGATTGGGTTTCTCCTGCTACCTTGTCTTCCAAATTACTGATTTGATCCTTTGCTTCATCCAACCTACTGTTTATTCCTTCTAGTGTATTCATTTCAGAGATTGTATTCTTCATTTCTGACTTGCTCTTTTTTATGGTTTCTATGTCCTTTTCCATGCTATCGAAATTCTCACTAAGTTTCTTCAGCATTCTTATAAACATATTTTTGAACTCTGTATCTGGTAAATTGCTTGCCTCCATTTCATTTAGCTCCTTTTTACTTATTTTTTTAGTGAGATTTCTTTTTTCTTTTTTTTTTCATTTGGGGCATGTTTCTTTGTCTCCCCATTTTGGCGGCCTCTTTGTGTTTGTTTCTATGTATTAGGCAGATCTCCAAGTCTTGGTAGGGTGGCCTTATGTAGTAGGTGTCCTATGGAACCCAGTGGCACAGTCTCCTTAATTACCTGAGCTGGGTGCTTCAGGAATGTCCCTTGTGTGGTTTATGCAACACCTCCTATTATAACTGAGTCTTGATTGCTATTGGCCCGTTTGTGTGTGGGATTGACCCTCAGGCTAGTTGATGGTGAGAGTTGACCCTGACCACATATACAAGCTGCTGTGTAGGTGTTGACCACATGAAGTGAAATTTGCCTCAGCAGGGTCTGTTGCCTGTCTTTAACCTTTGCCATTTTGTGAAACTAATTGGATCCTGCTCTGATGTTGTTTGAAGCTGGCCACTGGGTGTGTCTCTGGTGCAAGTCAATGTCACACACGGCCTGTGACTGGCCCTGGGCAACCTGTTTGTAGCTACAAAGCAACCCACAGTTTTTGGCTGCCTCTGCTGGGCCTGGATGTGTGTGGGAAGGACCAAGCTGTGCACCAAGGCTGGCTTCCACCAGCACCAAGCCCAGGGGCAGGTCAGCAAAAGGTCCCAGGCACCCAGAGATCCTCCTCTGCCTGCTGGCTGCCTTTTAGGCTCAGTCACTGAAAGAGCCACCCAATAATTCCTAACATTTCCTTTGGCCTGGTTCCTTATCATCCCCACCCCCCAAGCCCCTTCATTCATCTTATACTTGATTTAACCTGAGGTCAATGAAGATTTCAATAAACCTCCTGAAGCAGTGTGCAAAATTTTATGTGTTTGCTTATTTTTTTGGAGGAAAGCTCCAGAGCTTGGAACAGATTCTCAAAGTACTCTGTGAAAAGATCCCACCCTGGAAAAAAAAGAAAAAAACTACAACAGTGTTTGTAAATAGTTGCTTTCACACAACATACATTTTCTTATTTCCCCATTTTTATGCATCTTGTTCTGTGAGACTAGATGGTGTAGTGGAAAAAGTATATATAGGCTTTGGATCTCCCGCAGTATCTGACTTAAACTAAAACTGGCTAATTAGTGATGAAATTTATCTCATAAGAAATAATGAAGAGTAGCAAATTTGATAGGGAGCCCCTGAGAGTAAGTGAAAGTTACAAGAACAAGATCCCATTTACATGGTAGAGGAGGTAGACTGATTACCAAAGGACACAAGGGAACTCTCTTGAGGAGATGGAAATGTTACCTTGATTATATGACCGAGTCTATTTGTCAAAACTCCTTGATGCATACACTTAAAATAGATTAATTTTATTGAATAAACATTATACCTCATTAGCAAATTTTTTATATGCAAGAATACATGCTAGGTTACTAACATTGGATTGGGAGGCATATAATGGGTAAGGAGAAAAAGGTAAAAAAGTAAAACTATTTAAAAATGTATGATCCCATTTATGCATTTATAAAATAATTATGGCCCTAGCCGGTTTTGCTCAGTGGATAGAGCATCGGCCTGCGGACTGAAGGGTCCCAGGTACGATTCCAGTCAAGGGCACATACCGCGGTTGCAGGCTCCCTGCCCTGGTTGGGACCATGCAGGAGGCAACCAATCGATGTGTCTCTCACACTTACGTGTTTCTCTCTGTCTCTCCCTCTCTCTTTAAAAATCAATGGAAGCCGAAACCGGTTTGGCTCAGTGGATAGAGTGTCGGCTTGCGGACTGAAGGGTCCCGGGTTCGATTCCGGTCAGGGGCATGTACCTGGGTTGCGGGCACATCCCCAGTAGGGGATATGCAGGAGGCAGCTGATCGATGTTTCTCTCTCATCGATGTTTCTGGCTCTCTATCTCTCCCCCTTCCTCTCTGTAAAAAATCAATAAAATATATTTTAAAAATAAAAAAAATAAAAATAAAAATCAATGAAAAACAAGTCCTTGAGTGAGGTTTTAAAAAAAAAGTATAAAATAATTATGTATATGCATAAAAAAATCTTGCCAGATATCCAATACTGCAATCCAATACTTGTATCATTGGCATGTTCAAATTCAGGGGCAGATCAGGAGATGGAAGCCAGATGGTCATGGATTATGAAAGAATAGCAGGTGGAGGAAGTGGGACAGTGAGTGTAGAAAACTTAACAAAGTATTGAGATTGTGTAGTTTACCTTTGGAGCAGCAATGAAGAAGGAATGAGATGAGGTACACTGTAAATATTGTAAGCTTCCTTGTATTCCCAGCACATCTGTTTTAAATGATCATGTCTCTCGAGAGAATCCACACAAAAGGAAACAAGAGCAGCTCCTGAGACACAGGTAACAGTAGCTTTTCTGGAAGGAGCCAATCTTCGTGTGAGCTGATTGTAAACCCTGAGTGGTTAAGGAAACTCCGGCTTTCCTAGAAATCAGCTTGGACCTCTGCTGAGTATACAATTGTTAGTACCAAAATGGAGTAATGCCACCCAGCTAGTTTTATATTTTAAGAATTAGAATAATGGGTATGCACAGGATATGACACAAAGCAGGTACTCAATTAGTGGCAGTTCTTATTATTCCCCTGCCTAGAAAGGGCTCTTAAATATAGACAATCATAAAATAGTTGGGTGGGTGAATAAACTATGAATGAACAGTCAATTTCAGTGAGTTGCCTATTTTTCCAGACTGAGCTTAATTATTATTATTTCCTTTGGGAAGCTACCTAGCTACCCTTATCCCAAACATTTTCTCACTTAATAGTGTAGGTATCAGAGTCAGGTTGCTGGTGCTTGAATCTTGGCTCCACTACTTATTGTGTCTTGGATGTATCACATAAACTCTCAGCTGCCTCAACTATAAAATGGGGCTTACCAATAGTATCTACCTCATCGGGTTTCTGTAAAGGCTTACCACAAAAATATATTTATTAGATTGCCTGGCATGTAGTAAGCATTCAATAAACATTAGCAATCATTACAGGGCTATAAACCACATTTTATAAATTATTTTCTTGTGTAGTTCATGAAAATAAGCTTCATGAGAGCAGTAACTTAGGTGTGTGCTTTTTCACTGTTTAAAACTATGCCTTGGGATCTGTAGGCCTTCATAAATAGTTGTTGAATGAATACCTACCTACCTACCTACCAAAGACACAGAGTGCCACAATTTTATATATATTTTTATTTATATATTTATATATTTATATATTTATATATTTATATTTTTCCCCAAAATTAAGAACAGGGCTTTGCATAGAGTAGATGCACAACAGATGTTTATTGATTGAAGGAACGAATGAAGATGATCAAATGTCAAGTGACTCCAGAATACTGACAGTAGTGTATCCAGGGGGTAAAAAAGAGATTAAGGAATATTCCAGTATCTTTATAAACATTTTATTTAAAAATAAAAATTATAAACAAAATACAGAAAAATATTGACACCTGTGATAACAAGAAAATGACTCCTAATCTTTAGGGCAGTTTGTTATCCTGGAAGAGCAAAATCATGAGTTTTATAAAGAAATTTGATTGTGCAAAGGAAGAGTGTACTTTTTAAGGTTCATTTAAAACAGGTATTTGGCATTGACAGAAAAAGTATCCCTATGTATACATTCAACATTTTGCAGCATATTTACATTCAAGTTACATTTCCGAATTCTATGCCAAATACAGTCTAACTCACCATCAAAAGTCCCTAAGACATTACTAAAATTCTATTTGGTAGAAGTGCATTATTATTTTATTAGAAAATAATTTTATGTTCCTATTAGATCAATTATATTTTAACTATTTCAACAAAATTCACTGACTTTTTTTTCCCCTGGTGAAGCCAAACCTCTTCTAGACAAATTAAGCACCAACTGAAATGGGACACTTATAAAGTTAAATAGTAATTTATTTTCCTCCCTCCTCAGAGATATCATTAAAACTTTCAATAAAAGGACACAGGCACTGATATTCTGTCTTCTTTCACAGTAGCTAAGACATATGGATACAAGCAGTGGAATTGGAACTTCTTTTTAAAAGATGGCCGAAGCACTGCTCCCCTTCAGTTGTGACCAAATTCCTCATCAAAATAAAACGCATTAAGAAACCCACATCATTTTCTGAAAACTTTTCTCCATTTTCCCACACATCCCTCAAATCAGACCATTTCTTCATTAACAATTTGTGAATCTGTTGCTTAACTTTCTGAAGTTACATTAGGGCAGCTATCTTAGTTTCCTGATGATCTTCCCATTTCATTTTGTAAATTATGATTTTACTAAAATCAACAAAAATTACAAATATCACCCACCTACAGTTCTCTGAGAAATTTAACTTACTCATGAGGCCTGTCTATCTAAGCTTGGCAAACAAAATGTCAAGATTAGAAAATTCTCATGCTTCCAAGAGATTCTAGACAAATCAAATCTACTCATAATGTATCAATTCTTTTTGAATTATCTCAGGTCAAGTTCAATTTTTTAAGAAGTCTAGAAAGATAATGACAAAACAATGGAGACAGATAAATGTCACGTAGCTGAGCTCTTTCTTTCTAATTTACTTCAGGTTGTAACGTCTCCTCCAGGACATGATGACTGGCAGTTGGCAGTAGGTGGCTGAGATGATACCACTTCTAATTCAGATTCACGGACAAAAATCACTGCATCACCACTTACATTTATAAGACACTGTGCCTATAAGAACAACGGGACATGTTCAGTCACAAATTCAACAATATGCTCATACTCGTCTGTTACTTTAGGGGCACCACATTCATTAGAGAAAAGATAGACAACCCACTAGAAAAATGAGCAAAGAAGGCAATTCATAAGAAAGTAAACTCAAAGAAACATTCATTATAGTCATTTAATTTTTAAAGGACTCTAACAATTTTGAGTTATCTTAACAAAAATGATAAAAGAAATTTATTCTAAAATTTAACCTAAGCAGTACACTTTAGCCCCCATTAACAGAATTACATTACTTATTTAAAAACGAAACAAAGCAGTGTGGCCCCATTATGATGTACTTTTCACCAGCATGGCAGTGAGAACCTGATGGCATCATAATCCAAACTAGAGGAGGGCTTTTTGAATATATATATATTGATTGATTTCAGAGAGGAATGGAGAGAGAAAGATAGAAACATCAGTGATGAGAGACAATCATTGATTGACTGCCTCCTGCACACCCCACAATGGGGATCAAGACCGCAACTCAGGCTTGTGCCATGACTGTTAATCCAACAGTGACCTCCTGGTTCATAGGTTGATGCTCAACCACTGAGTCACGCCTATCAGGAGGCATTTTTAACTCTCCTCAGTTAGCCATCACTGTATTCCAAAGATCCACCAAGATGATGATGAAAAAAATAGTAAATCAGAAGCCCAGTCTGCGTCGTCTCGCAGTCTGGGATTCCTCTCACAGTCCCGGACCCCTTGCTCCTTACTGCCCGCCTGCTCACTACTCCTTACCACTCAGCTCACTGCTCCTTAGCGCTGCCACGGAGGCAGGAGAGGCTTCCGCCACCACTGCTGCGCTAGCAGGGCCATGAGCCCGGCTTCTGGCTGGGCGGTGCTCCCCCTGTGGGAGCGCACTGACCACCAGGGGGCAGCTCCTGCGTTGAGCGCCTGCCCCCTGGTGGTCAGTGTGCATCAGAGCGACCAGTCGTTCTGGTCGTTCTGCCGTAATGGTCGCTTAGGCTTTTATTATATAGATTCTTTAGAACAAGTTCTAAGCATCGAGAATCAAAGAGCTTTATAAAGAGCAAATCTCTTTTACAGGGGAGGGTGGCAGGTGGGAAGGCCATGGGGGACATTCCCAGGTTCCCGGTCAGAGGTCTTTAACTACCTCTTACCTGGTTCTTATTTGGATTCTCCATGAAGACACACTGCTTCATGATGTAGGAGACAACAGCATTCCCTCCTAATGCAGCAACATGAGCTCTCACCATTGCAAACACCTCAGCGACAAAAGCATGGAGAAAACCACTGACTCCTCCTTCCTACATAATAATGCACAGGAAAATCAAATTATGTACTTGTATAAATAAATGTATATAAAATGTCAAAGAAGATATATTAAAACATCGACAATGATCTTAATATAATGGATTATTTTAATGTCCTTCATGAGGACTTGTTGCATGAATGAACAAACCTTTACTGAACACATATCTATGATAGGGATTACTCTCCTTATTTTACAGATGATGAAGCTCAAAGAATTTGTTATGTGCCCATGACTAGCTATGATCACATGACTAGTAAATAAATGGCAGAGCAAGAATTCAAATTGTTCCTCCATCTTCAACATCTCCCTCTATCAAATTGTTCCCATCCTCCTTCAAATAAATTAATGATAAATATAAACAATAAAACCTCCCCGCTATCCATATCTCCCCTTCTGAACCATATTCTAGTCATGTTTACCTTTTATCAGTTTCTCAAAAGTGTCAAGCACTTTCTCTGCCTCAGGTCTTTATATATGCTGCTCCTGAAGGTTCTAAGGATCGTTACCCAATTTTCTACCAGGATAACTCGTATCTAGTTCTTTAGGTCCTGGCTGAAATGGAACTTCCTCAGAGATACCCTCCCTAAATCTAAAGTGAGTTCCCCCGTTATATTTTCTAATGGCCTCTATTATATTACTTACTAACACGTAAGTATTTGTTTAATATCCACCATGCTCCAGTTTCACTAGACTGTGAATTCCATCAGGTCCAGGGCCCCATCTGTTTTGTTCATAAGTCTTATGCTAATACTACTGTGTGAAATTTGGAATCAATCCAGACAGGTTATTGGCGGGGGGGTGGGGGGTGGGGGGGGATGTGTGTGTTACTTTTGGCAAAAAAAAAAAAAAAAATGAAACTTGTTTAGTTTTGTCACTAATATCTTCAGTCATAGAAAATTCACAAAAATAATGAAATAACATCCATAAAATTACCTCACGTAGAGAAGTGGTTTCCCGAATAAAAAACATGTTAATTATCCCAAGATATTTCGTTATTTTTGCTCCAGGAATGAAAGAAAGAGGTGTCATCTTAACAACCCCAACTGTAGAATTTGCACAAGGTGGAGCAGAACGATTCCGGAAATTTCCTTCACTCATTGGACTTGCTTTTTCAACTGTCACAGCTAAAAATTGGAGAAAGAAGAGAAAGCACCAGGATCAGATGCCAGTAACTCAATTACACCCCCAAGGTTTCCGAGTAAGTGGTGACAACATTCAGCTGTCTGTGAGGCTAAGCCATGTCATGAAAGTCAAGAAATTATCATGCACTGCATGCAATTTAAAGAGAGAGAGAAAGAAAAACATAAGAGAAAATGCTGAAATGGAATTCTTTTGGAAGAAAAATGGCATTCCTGCAAAAGAAAATGTTGATGCGGTGTAGCTATACATACAATGATCGTTATAAAGTGAAGAAAAAGAAAAAGCGGCAGAGCAATTAAAAATTATCTGCTGTGGGAACAAATTATTACAAAGAGTGTGAAAGTTGTTATATTTCCCAGTTTTTTCTCCAACTTTTTCAGATGACTTCATCATTGTCAACTTGTAGATAAACCTTGTTAACTAGTTGTAAAAGGTTTATTTTCCAAACCATTTTGATCAAACTCATAATTTTAAAAACTTAGAAATGACCTTGGCTATCTAAAAGTTGATTGTTATAAAATATAAATAATAATAGCTATCACTTATCAAATAACTATTATAAACCAGGCACATATATACATCTAATCCTTACAACAACCCAGCAACCTAGGTTTTATCCCCATTTTCAACATGAGGAAACTGAGGCTCAGAGAAGTTAAATAACTTTCCCAAGGTCACACAGCTATTAAAATGGCACTTCTAAGATTCAAAACCAGATCAACAGGTTCCATATCCTGTGATCTTTCCTCTACAAGATAGTTCTTTCCCTATTAATGTACTATAAACTCTGACACTCAAATACATTTACCTCAGAATCTACCAAAACACATGGAGTATAGATAAAGAGCATATGATGATCTTGATTCTAACAGTGAGATGAGTTTACTTTCTCTCTAAAAATACCTCATTCTTTCAGCCCTCTGGATATCACACTTGGTAAACTGACACATGCCATAGGCTAGATCAGTGGTTCTCAACCTTCCTAATGCCGCGACCCTTTAATACAGTTCCTCATGTTGTGGTGACCCCCAATTTCATTGTTACAAATTGAACATAAAGCATAGTGATTAATCACAAAAACAATATGTAATTATATATGCGTTTTCCGATGGTCTTAGGCGACCCCTGTGAAAGGGTCGTTCGACCCCCAAAGGGATCGCGACCCACAGGTTGAGAACCACTGGGCTAGATAGTACCTTGGGTCCTGGAATAGTATCTCTTCAATAAGAGAGCTGACAATTTCCTTCCACTAGAAGAATATAATATCTATTTATATACTTTTAAGAATACCTTCACAAAAAGTGAAATTAAAAAAAAATTCTACAGTTAAAATCAACAAATCTAAAGGCCCTTCAATAACTTCTGTTAAATGACCATTAGTCTGCAGCTTTCACACTCCAACACATGATTGATTCGCAATGTTATTACTGGGTGGAAAAGTCTAGCCTCCACCACTGGGAAATCAGGGATATGCTTCTCAGATCATAATGTGGTAGAAACATCCGCCTACTTGTCTTAATTGATCCGCGCCTTATGGTCTGAGCTTTCAGTTTAATGAGCTCTATCCAGCTGCTGCATCTGTCTGCAAAGGAACTGTAATCAACTGACGTTGCTGGAAACACAGACAGAAAACAAAAGAAAAAATATGTATGACGTCTCTTACTCGTCATAACACTCCTTCCGATGACGTAATTTAACTGTAATACAGAAAAAGAATGGTCCCTTTCAAGTCAGATAAGAGAGACAGTAAAGAGTCAAGCTTTAGACACTGATTTGTCCAAAACCAATTTCTCAGTTAGCTGGCTGAGCGTTTTTGGTGATGTCATAGTTGTGTAGTCTCTTAGGGAAAACGGAAGTGGGGTTTAACAGAAATATCAGGACCACATACCATGTTTTAACTAACTTTCTCCCCATTCTTTTTACTTTACAATGTTTTAGCTGTTTATACTTTAGGACTTTAATTTGCAATCCAAACTTTGTGAATAATTGCCTTCCTATGTCTACTTTAAAATCAAAACAAAAAATAATGAGTCAGATATTGAAGAATAGATGAAAAAAATCACTCGTTGACTTATCTTTTATTAAAATACCTTCTTTCTACCAAGAGTAACAGGAAAGCCAAAGGATCGCTTCTGTCCATATTCTCTTTTCCATGTATGATTTTTGGCAACAAAGCTGCTGATAACACAGGGTAGGGTGGCAGGTGTGAACCTATCAAGTTCTCCTTCTAAAAGAATAACTTTTACTACTACTGAGCAAAAAAATATATATATATTAAAAAGCTAAACTTTTATTTTTAGAAACTGGAAAACTATGAAAATGCTTTAAATTTTTAAAATATTAGTTTTATTAATGTTTTTGAGACACATTCTAACTACAAGAAGGCCACATTTTGGTGTCTGAATTCCACTGTCCAGTGCATTTTTCCATTGTCTGTATGTTTATGCACCACCACACTAGAATTTCACACCTTGGTGACTATTTGATTAGACGAACTCACCTCTCTGTGCAGCTGGTATACCTGAGTTAGAACTTGCACTCTCCAGGTGTTCTAATAAGACAATATGAACAGCATTAGCTTGGATGCTAAGTATAAATCAGTTTCTCTTCTTTGCTGTTTGTAAGTACTCTCTATAAGCCAGAAGAATAGGAGGAACTCTTTATGGCTTCATTGTAAAAGCAAACCAAATAGAAGTATTTCGATTTCTAATGCAATTTCTATTGACATATGAAAACTAGCTCAGTTAATAAATACCATGCCAAGGAAGACTACTTGTTAGTATAACACAAAAAGAGTTTCAGAAACTTCATAGGCATGAGAAAATATAAACACCGTAACAAATAGGATGAAAGCAGAATGTAAGAAAACTGAGCAGAGAAAAGGGTTGATGAATTGGGAAGAAAATCTGAAGTGAAATATGGAAGGGAAACATTTGTGTGGGGAAGAGCTAGTAAGATTAAAAATTACAGACAAGGCAATGACCGATGTCTCACAGACAAACACAAGCTCCTTACTAGCCATAACCCTCCCCCTGACCACCAACCCCTTCATTCGAGGACATCACTGTCAGCAACTTCCTCTGGTGGTATCAAGACTTTGTGGAACGAAAAAGTGACTGTTCTCCATAGAAATAACCGGGAATCCCAATCACTTCCTTTCCAGTACCTCATAAAAATAGCATCCAGAATTTTCTCTGATATTTTATATTTTTTATAGATTTTTAAGGTATTGTACAAATTTAAACAGTACTATAAAAATCATCTATTTCTACTGTTCAGGATCTATCCACACTAGCACATTTGAATTTTTGTTTCAAAGAATTTTATAATTGAAGGAATAGTGTTGTCAAGTAGAAATAACCCATAAGAAATACTGAGAATTATTTGGGTCAGCCAATTGTTTTTTTTTAATTTATAAACTAATTAATATTTTTTGTCTCTGCCTAATGGGTTGATCTTTTGGTACTATTCTTAAGTTAATAAAATTTATACTTTCCAAAAGTAAGATTTGTACAGAATGTTTCTGATAATTGGGTGTAATGGAAGTGTCTCCCATGCCGCCCTCCTCCCCCATTTTTATAGGTCAAGTGGCCACTAGCTAATACTGAGCGTGTACAATGGTTGACATGCCTCTTAAAATAGAGAGCTGATAAATAAACAGGGTCACTAGGTGGGGTCCACAAAATGCCTGTGAGGGTGCTATGCTGTGGACATGCCCTGATAATCATGGCCTCAGACTGGAGATCCAGACAGGGAGAGTCCTCTGGATTCCGGATCCTGAGGGAACTGGAAGCCGAGGAGGAGATGGAATCTGCAGGAAGAAGGCCAGACAGAGCTGACATCTTGAGGCCGATTAGATCTCTAGGGACAGCTCAGCACAGCAAGACCCAGTGCTGGGACAGCCAGAGACCTACCCCAGGCTTCCATGTCTCAGGAGGGTCCCAGGGTTCTCATATGCCCTTGGTGAGCACAGAATTATAGAAAATTAGGAATTCTGTGAAAGTTTTTAAAATGTAGGAAAGCTAAAAAAAATGTGAAAATCACTAAAGTGAAATTATCTTCTGTACCTCAATATTATCTGAGTAATATGGGATTCCTCAGTAGCAACTATATATGTTAGAGGCAAATGTCCACAAAAAGAGCTTAAATGTAAAAAGTGTCTGTTCCCTCCCAGCCAGTGTGGCTCAGCAGTTGAGCATCTATCCCAGGAACCAAGAGGTCATGGTTTGATTCTCAGTCAGGGCATATGCCCAGGTTGCAGGCTCAATCCCCTGTACAGGTTTGCAGGAGGCAAGCAGTCGATGGTGTTGCTCTCTCATCTATGTTTCTATCTATCCTTCTCCCTTCCTCTCTCTCTAAAAATCAATAAAAACACATTTTTAAAAAAAGAACTTTGTCTTAAAAAGAAAAAAATGTATCTGTTCCCATCTCTAAGTATAGCCAGTGGAAAAAAACCACAAAGGTATACAATGATGGGTATAATATTTGTGTTTTTAAAAAATATATATATATTTGCAAAGACAGATAATAAGCTATTAAGAGTAGTTGCCCCGCCTGGCCGGTGTGGCTCACTGGCTGAGCATCGACCCATGAACCAGAGGTCACAGTTCAATTCCCAGTTAGGGCACATGCCCAGGTTTCTGAGTTCAATCCCCAGAAGGGGGCATGCAGGAGGCAGCCAGTCCATAATGTTTCTCTCATCGATGTTTCTATCCCTCTTTCCCTTTCCCTTCCTCTCTCTGAAATCAATAAAGACATATTTAAAGAGTAGTAGTTGCCTCTTGGGAAGGGAAATGAAGGGAGATGAATGCTTTATTGGACTATATGATTTTTTGGTAGGATTTGAATTTTCCACCATGTGCATTTACTACTTTTCCCATCAAATTTTACAAAGGATAGGGAAGAGGGAAAATATTTATTCCTGGCCCTCAAATATGAATGTGTTTGAATTAAAATCTGAAAAAAAAATCAGTTTTAAAATTGGAGACATTCTTAAGGGAAAGGGCAAGTGAAAAGATTTATCTCACTTAAGAAGAGCAGGTTCATCTGTTAATATGCTAGCTATGACCTTAATTTTTTCTCTCCGAGAAAAAGCCCAAGGTGAGCTGGTTCTGACAGCACCTTGGACTGGTTTGACTACTTCAAATATCTCATGACCTTGGGCTCTCTATCACACTGCTCCTTCTGATTACAATTTGCCTTCCCAGGCAACAGGCTTTTCAGAAGAGAAACTACTATATATATATAAGCTGTCTGGCTCATTGACAAACTAGTAATTTTGGTTAAAAAGAAATTAAAAGTACATACGTAATCTCTATGCCAATAGTACAAAAAAACAAAACAAAAAACAACAACAACAACAACAAAAAACAACACTTCATATATAGGGAAAGAAATCTTATTTAAGTCATTTGGGCTTTGTCGAGGGCTAATGCTTAGTGTGGGCCATTTGTGTATCTACGTGAAAGAGTTTGAGACAAACGCTTATGTTAGGTCCCCATTCTAGCTGTAAAGAGAGTCTCAATCAAGCCACATGGCAGCCTACTTCTCTTATGATTTCCTTTCCCACTGAATACAAGAAAAAGATTATTTTGTTTTAAAAAAGCACAAGTGATAACCCTATTATACCCAAATAAACAACCCTAGAAAGTTAGCATGGCACGCACACAGCACATATGGCTTTCTTATTCTCTTAGTACATTCTAGCAATATTTAACAAGCCCTAATGGTGTGGGGAGGGGGACTAACCTAAGTTAAAAGCAGTTTAGTGAAAATGAGCAAAATGATGACAAAGAAAAAAATGTGGCAAGATTTCTTTCTCCCTCAATTATACATGTTCCAATGCCTCTAAAGGTTGAGGCTTCCCTATTTTCCTAAATAATCTGTCATACCAATGACAAAGATGTTGATTAACTATGATAAAGTTCTATACTGACCACTAACTCTTCTGACCACTTACTCACTTTATATCATTAGAATTCACAGAACATCTTTGCTCTTAATAATTAAAATATATTAGAGACAATCTTACCTGGTCAACCTAAGAAAATTACTAAAACTGAAAAAATTCCTGCAAATTATGAAAAAGTTCTCTGGCAGATTATGCATTTCCATCAATCTATAATGCACTGATTAGCTAAGTCATATAACTATAAAATCTGGATTAATATCCAAGTTAGATAATGGATGTATATGAACATTCAGCATAAACTTTGTCCATAATTATATTCAAATACTGGTGGATTGGTAATCAAATGGCCATATTATAGTTAAAAATTATTAAGGCATAGAAAAAGATAGACCTTCAATTTGGACAGTCCATAGGGGAAAAAAATTTTCAATTATAAAGGTAATACATACACTAGAGGACAAAGACAAGTAGCTTCTCTATCTGGGTCGTTAAAGCTTCCAGCTAAAGGTGTACAACATCCTAAACCACTTGTGCTTTTCCTTTAACCACCTATTGTTTTCCTGCCTCCATTACCAGGTACCCACTCCTTCTCTCCATCCTTTATATCGTCTCTTCCAAATAATCCGTTTTCCATCAGTAACTCAATTCAATTTTTCTTTGCTTTTTTTTTTTACTACCTACTCCAGATTTTACTCTCCTCAAGCTACCTTAAAGAAGCTAAAATTCCTTAACCCTACTTCTCCGTCAATTCTTTTCTTCCTTCCTTCCCATTTTGTGGGTAAGTTTTCCACACACTCTCCTCTCTTTAGTTTCTATTTTCCTCTCATTCTCCTTTCCCTCGGTATCTCTCCCTTTCAAAATCTCCCGTGGATTGTTGTGGTCATCAATAACATGGAGAACTTTCTATTGTTGATACCATTTGGTCATTGTGACAAAATATATTTTAAAGAGAGAGAGAGAAAAAACAGGCACGCAATGAGTTGTTAATATATAAAGGGATTTTAGTTAGTATAATGAATTATATAGACTTGTAAGAATTCAGTACAGTTAGTTGGCAGAAAAAAAATGAAAGCTAACTTTAAAGGTTTCATAGATTTATATTTCTAATAGCTAGTTTAAAATAATGTGAGGGAAGTCATTAAATTTAAAAAATTAAGATATCTTTTAAAATCAAATTTGATTTAACAAAAAGAAAAACTAACTCTTATAAGCCTACAATAAAAGTAAAGATAAAAAAAAACTTCTGATGTGGATACCTAATTATGGAGTATAACGTATTAAAGGAATAAGCCAACTTGTTTTCTTTTATATTGAAACCCAGATTTTGGCCTATGCTTGTCACATTAGTCAGCAGCTGCTTGATGAAAAGAGTAATCTTGGCAGCATATAGCTTATGCCACTGAGCATGAGGAAATCACGCCGGCATAAAGCAAAATGAAAGCAGAAACAAGGTGGGTATAAAAACTTCTCTATGTCATGCGGACTGGGGTTCATTTCCCCGACGGGGAGCCAAAAAACAACAACAACAACGACAAAAAAAACTTCTCTATACAGTTTTATCCAACAGTATATAAAAACTAGGATTGACTTAATCAAACCTTTAAAGTCTTAACACTCTCAAAATTTTAATGAAAATAACTATCCTATTATAGATTAGATTTTTAAAGTATTTGAAATTTATTAATAATAGAATATAATTCATACACTTTTGTCATGAATGTAAGTCCTTAAACCCTACAATATGGTATCTAATACCTCAAGATTTATATCTTTAGAAATGCATCTAAAGCTAATCTTTTATGAAAATTACATATGTTTAAAATTCTTGAGATCAACTACAGTTTATGAGAAAAATCTTACTTATTTTTTACTTTCCACGCAAATTATATTCACTCAGAGTCTCCATTTTTACTATATTTGATCCCTTTTTTCCTATATATATCATTTTATAAGTCTCTTGAAACTATTTCGAGAAAAACTGAAGCCTAGATATTAATAGTTAGGAAAAACACTATGAAAGTGGCATAAAAATTCACTACAGCCATCTTTTTTCTCATAAAACAGCTTCATGTGAAAATAATTTATGTCAATGCCACATCATCTATGATCCTCATAGTATCAAAATATTTGGATGACCTTCATATGACAATGTCCTTTAAGAAATTATTTCAGCTCAGCACCTTTTAATATTTCAAATCTGAAAAATCAAGATAACTAGCAAGGTAACATCAAGCCAACCATAAATTTGAGACATACTTCAAACTATTTTGTTACCTTGAGAAACAAAACCAAATATAACAAAAGATGGAAGAAAAAAAATTGAATATGGATGGACAATTCAGGCCCAGGCTTACTCTATACACAGAATTAGGATACAAATAATTGAAGCATCTTTTCTTCACATAATATTCACTCATTTCCAATAACATGAAAGGATAAGAAAAGGTTTATCTACAAGTGAAAAGATGGAAGCATTAATAAACATACTGTGCTTAACTTAGCTCTTAAAACTACTCTGTCAACATAAAAGGAAATGAACATTTTAACAAATTATCCTATTTGTGATAAGAACATGAAGAATAAATTAGAATCCAAAATTTTCAGAATTAAAAAAAGAAAAGCTCCATCAGCTTAGCTAACCGAACTAACAAAACTATAAGAACTATATATTTATTTACTTCTCAGTATTAGTAATTTACTTTTAAGCCTCTGTGGGTTGTATATAAAAAAGTAGAGAAGATCCCAACTCGTAGCTCAGTGGTTGAGCGTTGACCTATGAACCAGGAGGTCACGGTTTGATTCCTGATTCCCAGCCAGAGCACATGCCCAGGTTAGGGGCTCGGTCTCCAGTGTGGGGCATGCAGGAGGCAGCCGATTAATGATTAATTCTCTATCATCATTGATGTTTCTATCTCTCCTTTCCTCTCTGAAATCAATAAAAATATATATTTTTAAATAGAGACATTTTTGAACATTTATTCCTAGCACTCTTACCTTGCCCTCTCCTGCCTGTTTCCTCTGAATTGTTATGCTTAATTTTTTCCAGATATTTATATTCTCTACTCAAAGCCTTTCTTCATGTTATAATGCCCAGTTGCTACATTCATGTTATAACACTCTATTATAACATTTTTAGGACCTTTACAAAACTCACCCTATCCTCTAACCTTCGAAAATACTTTCTTTAAAGTAACTTTTTCAAATATATTTGGTATAGCCCATGTTCTCCTAAAAAGACTTTGAGGGAGCAAAGACAATAAATAAGCATGCAACATAAACCACAATTTACAAAACTGTTTACAACAGATACAGATAAACTTTTTAGTGCTTACTGATGATTTTGAAATGCAATATTCATGGAAAAGCACACAGGTTTTTCAGTTAAGCACTTAGTATAAAAAGTTTTATACATATTAGTACTGGTTGTGATGATGTTGATCATTATGAACATGATGATGACAATGATAATAAAGGTGAAATGATCTGATTCCATTATTTCCCAACTTTGAAACCCTTTCTTCAAACAAAATCACATGTAGAAAGCAGATACGCAAAAACACACTGAATCGAAGCTGCTCTAAGTTCAGAGGTAGGGTAGGGGGTCCAGAGACCTACCCCCTCACATCCCCAACCCTTTCAGCTCCCTCCCTTCCCACCCTGCCTCCGGGGAAGTCATGAGGCACCTCCGAAGAAACACTATGGTTTTAAAATTATTGGTTTAACTAATTAGAAGCTATTTGGAAAATTTTAAGTTCATTGTGACCATAGGCATAATTTAGCTTTTGATTTGTTTTTAGTAATGGGAATATGTTAATAATTAAAGAAACACAAACTACAGAAACCCAGGGAATTGGAGAATTTTAATGGCTAGAGGGAACCTTAATCCTTTCACATTTTACAGATGAGGAATTGAGGTTTACTAGTAAGTTGGCCTCAAATCTCACACTTCTGAGTAGCAGAACTGAGAAGAGGTCTGTTGCTTTATTACTCCACCCATGGCCCTTCTCTACACTCCTTAAATTGAATTGCAAATACTTTAGGTATTGTTCAGATATTACTTATTCCACTCAAATTCTTCTTTCCTCATTCTTCAGTTCACACAGTATAATTTACACAAAATATACTAATGACAAGAAATACTAGTTATAATTACCTTTGAAAGCGACTGCAGATACTGTGTTATCAACACAGATAAGGCAAACTTAAGAGTTTAATTTGATCTGCAGAACTCAGTAGCTATTAACATGGTAAAATACAGCTACTAGTAACAGGAACCCCAAGAACACATATATATTCCAACCGATTAGCAATTGATGAAATCTTTTTTGTTAATTAGTTTTTTATTTTGTTTCTTCCCCCCCTCCAACCCCCCCACATTTCAGGGTAAGGATGAATAAAAATGATACCTAAAAGTAGTTTGGAACTAACCCTGCATTAAATACACATTTCTGTATAAAGTAGGCATTAAAAAAATCCTGTCTAGTCAGTTCAAGGGAGATTCTTAACAGTTCTACTTTTTATTCTGGAAGCTATATTTATTTTATAAAGCTGAACTCAGATTATCTTTGGATTTGATTTTTCCTCTCTATTCTTTCAAGGAAGTTGAAGTATGCAAAAATTCTCCATGGAGTTCTAAATTAGAATTTTAATTTAGATAAAAAGAAAAAAGGACCACAGTTACCATGTCAGAAAGTTCCGAATTTGAAAGTACCTCATCTTTTCATCTCCAAAATAAGAGACGGGATCTACTTATCTATATGGACGGGTTTTGCACTGATTTAGTAAAGATTATTAATATACATGCAATGTGAGTATAAAACTATTCTGTATTACATCTAATTTGTCAGATAATATACCTGACAAGAAGAAATCATGAAATAATTTCACTTGTATTATAAAATATAAAAATCAGAAAAGTCAATATGAATTTTTAAATAACAGATGTACCATTTTTCAGAATAAAACATTTAGAAAAAACACGAACTACATTTATTATATATGTAATGCTATGAAGTAAAGTACAATAATTCTATAAATTTTATAATAAAAATTGCACTGAAATCAGAAGAAAAATGAAATAAAAAACTATCATTTTCTCCAAAGAGTATTAGATCAAAGTAGATGTACTGTTATTAAGAGATGATCATTTTGTATTTGAAAAAATGGCAGCATCTTGTAAGTACCTAAAAATGTTCCTCAATTGTACCCAAGATACCTAAAAGAGGCAAAAAACACATTCCTTTCTCACATTACTGCTGCCACCCAAAACCTCTCCAAATACCTCTGGAGAAAATAAGTAGTTTGTTGTCATTTTCAAAATGAATATTTTTGTAAAGGTTTAATTGTTGTTGAAAAAAATTACCAAATGTAATATAAATTTCAAATATATCAAATAAATCACTATGGGAAATCCAAATATCTGAAAATAAAACTTTAATACATTTGATATATAAAATGGAGTCTCATATGAAAAATTACCTTAATAATATGTGCTGATATTACTTGAGAAATTAAAATGAGAATATTACTCCCCCCCTTTATGAATATGAACATAACAATGAAGAAATGAAGAATAAATCTTCATCTCAAGATTCAGTAAGATTATCTACAATAATGAAGCAAGTAAAAAACACCAGAAACTAGGATTTGGGTTTGCATTTCCCTTATTTAACCAACCTTTAGCTGGTGGAAAAGGATGAGAAGGAAGTGAATCTGAACAGAGTTCCAGTGGAAACTGCAGAAGTTCTTCATTATCTGTAGAGGCTTAGGAAGCAAGAAAAACACTAATTATTTAGTAATAACCTACTATTAATTTTTTTAAATTAAGAATCTGGTATAACAGATTGTAAGAAAATACTTTGAACATCTATATGCCAACAAAGTGGGCAACCTAGGAGAAATAGACAAACCCTATGTACAATCTGCCAAAATGTAATCAGGAAGAATCAGAAAACCTGAATAGGCCAATAACAACTAATGAAATTGAAGCAGTAATCAAAAAACTCCCAGCAAACAAAAGCCCTGGACCCAGTGGCTTCACAGGTGAGTTTTACCAAACATTCAAAGACAAATTAACACCTATCCTCCTCAAAATTTTCCAAAAAATTTAAGAGGAGGGAAGACTTCCAAGCTCTTTTTATGAGGCTAGCATTATCCTAATTCCAAAACCAGATAAAGACACTACAAACAAAGAAAATTATAGGCCAAAATCCCTCATGAATGTGGATGCTAAAATCCTCAACAAAATACAAGCAAATAGAATCCAGCAATACATTAAAAAAAATCATACACCATGATCAAGTGGGATCTATTTCAGGAATGCAAAGATGGTTCCATATTCACAAATCAATAAATGTGGTATACCACATAAACAAAATGAAGGATAAAAATCATATGATCATATCAATAGACACAGAAAAAGCATTAGACAAAATCCAGCACCCATTTTTGATAAAAACTCTCAGGAAAGTGGGATAGAGGGATCATAACTCAACATAATAAAGGTCATATATGACAAACCTACAGCTAACAACATACTCAATGGGCAAAAACTAAAAGCATTTCCCTTAAGATCAGGAGCAAGACAGGTATGTCTGTTTTCACCACACTAATTCAACATAATACTGGAGGTTCCTGGCCACAGAGATCAGACAGAAAGAAGAAATAAAATGTATCTAAATTAGAAAGGAGGAAGTAAAACTATCATTATTCGCAGATGACATATATTACACATAGAAAACTCTAAAACATTCTACCAAAAATTGCTAGATTTAGTAAGTAAATTTGGCAAAGTAGCAGGATACAAAATTAATACCTGGAAATAGATGGCATTTTTATACACCAATAATGAACTCTCAGAAAGAGAAATGAAAAAAAAAAAAAAACCCATTTACCATTGCAACAAAAAATAAGGTATCTGGGAATAAACTTAACCAACAAGGTAAAAGTCCTATACTCGGAAAACTATAGAACACTGAAAAAGGAAAGAGAGGAAGATACAAACAAGTGAAAGCATATACCATGTTCATGAACTGAAGAATTAACATCATTAAAATGTCCATACTACCCAAAGCCATCTATAGATTCAATGAAATCCCAATTAAAATACCAACGACATATTTCACAGATCTAGAACAAATATTCCAAAATTTATACAGGACCAAAAAAGACCCTGAATAGCCACAGCAATGTTGAGAAAGAATAACAACATAGGAGGAATCACAATACTTGATATCAACCTATACTACAAAACCACTGTAATCAAAACAGCCTGGTATGATGATCTCATATATGGAATCCAGTGATACGTCTGATAAGGGGTTAAAATAAACTGATGAACAAAATAGATCCAAAGTCACAGAAGCATGGAACAGACTGTGGAATCTCAGAGGGAAGGCAGGGGAGGGTGGGTGGGTAGGAGGAGATCAACCAAAGAACTTGTATACCAGTGCATATATGCATAACCCATGGACACAGACAATAGGGTGGTGAAGGCCTGAGACGGGAGATGGAGGCAGGCTAGAAGAGGTCAATGGGGGAGGGGGAAAAGGAGGACATATGTAATACTTTCAACAATAAAGATTTTTTTAAAAAAAACAGCCTGGTACTGGAACAAAAACAGGCAAATAGACCAATGGAACAGAACAGAGACCCCAGAAATTGACCCACGCCAATATGGTCAATTGGTATTTGACAAAGGAGGCAAGAGCATACAATGGAGTAAAATAGTCTCTTCAATAAATGGTGTTGGGAAAATTGAACAGGTACATGCAAAAAATGAAACTAGACCACCAACTTACACCATATACAAGAATAAACTTAAAATAGATAAAAGACTTAAATATAAGTCACAAAACCATAAAAATCCTAGAAGAAAATATAGGCAGTAAAATCTCAGCCATCTCACTTAGCAATATTTTCACTGAGACTTCACCTTGGGTAAGGGAAACAGAGGAAAAAATTAACAAACGGGACTATATCAAACCAAAAAGCTTCTGCACAGCAAAAGAAACCATCAACAAAATGAAAAGGGAAACTACTGTATGAGAAAACATATTCACCAATGATACATCTGATAAAGGGTTAATTTCCAAATTATACAAAGAACTCATACAACTCAACACCAGGAAGACAAATAATTCAATTAAAAATGGACAAAAGACCTGAATAGACACTTCTACAAAGAGGACATACAGATGGCCAATAAACACATAAAAAAAGGTCAACATCACTAATCATCAGAGAGATGTAAATTAAAACTCCAATGAGGTATCACCTCACACCTGCCAGAATAGCTACCATCAATAAATCAGCACTCAACAAGTGCTGGCGAGGATGATGAGAGAAGGGAACCCTAGTACACTGCTGGTGGGAATGCAAACTGGTGTAGCCACTGTGGAGAACAGTGTGGAGTTTCCTCAAAAAATTAAAGGTGAAACTGCCTTTTGACACAGCGATCCACTTCTAGGAATATATCCTAAGAATCCTGAAACACCAATCAAAAAGAATGTAAGCATCCCTATGTTCATAGCAGTGTTATCTGGAAATAGCCCAAGTGCCCATCAGTAGATGAAGGGATAAAAAAAGCTGTGGTACATTTACACCATGGAATACTATGCAGCAGTAAAAAAGAAGGATCTCTTACCCTTTGAGATAGCATGGATGGACCTGGAGACTACTATGTTAAACTAAATAAGCCAGGTAAAGAAAGACAAATATCACGTGATCTCACATGTGGAATCTAATGAACGAAATAGGTCCAGAGGTATAGATGCATGGAACAGAATAACAGACCTCAGTGGGAGTTGGGAGGTGGGACAGGAAAAGATTAACCAAAGAATATATATGCAATAATGCATAACCTATGGAATAGACAATAGTATGGGGACAGCCTGACGTAGGGTGGAGTTGGGTGGAGAGGGGCAAAAAGGGAGAAAATGGGAGACATCTGAAATACTGTCAAAATATGATGGGCCAGTGTTGCTCAATGGTTGAGCATCAACCCATGGACCAGGAGGCCACAGTTCGATTCCTGGTCAGGGCACATGCCCTGGTTGTGGGCTTGATCTCTAGTAGGGGGCATGCATGAGGCAGCCAATCAATGATTCTCTCATCATTGATGTTTCTATTTCTCGCTCCCTCTGCCCTCCTCTGTAAAATCAATAAAAACATATTTTTTAAATAAATAAATAAATAAAACAAAATCCTACTTTTAACACCTAACAAAAAAAAAAGAATGATACTTTCTAAATTTTACTGGGTAAATGACAACTCTGAGAATCTGTTGACTACTATGGGACTTTTCCTAAGAAACACATGATGCTTACTACATCAGTAGTTTCTCAAATGCCTTGAGGACCTCCTTAGAGCTACTAGGATAGGAACCTCTAAGTTACTGCAGAATTAATATGCTACAATTTAAATCTATAAAACGACAGTATCTCTATGTAAATACCAGTCCACCACCTATTCACGTATAAAAAGTATCAAATCAGCCATATGCTTATCCTCACCGTTACTTTGATAAAGATTAACAAAAAGTGGCAGATTCTCTTCAAGAAACAATTCATTTATTTAATCTACTATCCTCTATATTTTATCACTAAACTATAATGTAGACAAACATGAACTATGATCCCACTCATCATAGATTTACCTCTTTGCAATGACTTTTCAACCTGTGTTTTTGTTGTCTGTAGAGCCTGATTTTTGTCAAAAGTTATTGCAACGGCTGTGACTGTAACCTAGAATCACAGAAACAGTAAGATTAGCAAAATAATCATTGTCAAAATAAGTTTCTTACACTTATTACTCAGTACCATGGAACAACTTAACACTAATTGGCTAATTTGCCTTTCCTGGTTAAGATTCTCAGTTACAATTCCCAGTTATAATTCTGGTTAAAATTCTCAGAGAATTATACATCAGCTCAGATATTTAAACTATAACTAAGCCCAACATGTACACCTAAACAGATATTCCAGAAAGAGCTCGAGAACTCTGTCTAATGGATGGGGACTGGAGAAACTGTATATAAGTACAAATCCTATTGTATATATGCTGGAGCCCAATTGTATGTGATTCCACCTTCAGATAAGCAGAGTTCAGGAAAATAAAATATACACAGTCTGTTTCATATTAATATGTTTCAAAATATTTTAAATAAAACAGGTTACAGTTATTTAATTATGGCATACTTCATAATAGTATAACAGATCAGATAAAAGCTAAAAAATCTTCTTTAACCGGTTGAGGCGAGGCTGAGGAGCTGAAAACTGGAGTAAGAGGAGGAGGCTAGTGGGGGGATGCGAGAGAGGGAAGA